CCCCAAAACCCCAAAACCCCAAAACCCCAAAACCCCAAAACCCCAATTCAAGTCAAAACAGTTGAAAATTATGGCTTAGAAATTATTACATATCAAATAATCATTTCCTTTTAAGCATATTTCGAGAAAAATTGGAGCATCATTGTAGAATTCTGGATTGGGGATACCCAATTTTCTTCCTCAGGAGCCATCAATTTTTGTTTGCCCTGACTTTCTTCCACCATGTCTTCTTTGTACAGTCTTACTTCAGCTGATTCCATCATTTTTCTGTTAATCTCTTCAGTTTGATTTGAAATATGGAAAGGGCTCACACTGGCCTGAGACCTGGAATTGTAAATACTTGCTGATATCGTAGAGTCGACAGTAGAAGATCCCATGTCACTTTGGTGTCTCTTGATAGGTGAGCTAGTAGATACCGGGCTGTTGTAGGAGCTAATTGATTTCCTTTTATGCAATACTATAACCGAAATCAATGCTATGAAGGGTATCTTCAGAAACATGATTTTGTACTTGTAGAATAACAAAGCACTAAATAACTTTAGCTTCTTAGGGGCGGCTTTCTCAAGTTCATCAGATTTGGAAGAAATCTTTTTGGATTCCTCGATTTTGGGTGATACCTTTACATCTTTGTCAGTACTCTGGTGTGGTTCCTGCTTAGTTTCCTCTGAAATCTCAGTTATAGGTGCTTCTGAGGGTTTTTCTAAAAGAGTGACGCTAGGCTGTTCTTGGCCTGTATCAGTCTCTCGAGCCTCTTCTTCAGGAATATTCTCTATAGAATCCTCAATCTCTTCAGCCTCATTAATTTCCTGAAGGACTTCCTTCACAGGCTCAATTGTCTTCGGGAATTCTTGTTGAGGTACATACTGGGACTTATACAAAGCTGCATGAGTGGGTTCTACGCTAAGGTCAGATTCAAGTATTTCCTTGACCTCTTCCTCCTTCTCTTCCTCATACACAGAAGCTATGACTGAGAGGTTCTGCTTTTTGGAAAGGAAGGTGCAGTGCTTTGATTTTTGCTTTAGGAATAAAATTAGTTGTTTAGAAGAAATCCTTTCTGGCTCAGTGGAGGTAGTATTTTTGATATCATCCTCTTGACTATCGCTACTCAAATCAGATCCTTCCATGAAGTTCTCAGAAATAGTACTAGATGCTGTTCCTCTGGCTTCTATGCCGAATGGGCGTCTTACTTTCAGGAATGGATCATTAACAACTCTACTTCATTTCCTATTAACTCAAGTTGCTTTCTTAATCATTAGCCTTCCAAGGTGGTGCTTACAGTAAGTTGACTGGCAGTGAGGGCAACTGGCTTTGTGTATTGGAACCCGAGAACAAAGCTGGCAGGTAGGAGATAATGGGGTTTTAGGAAGATGCGAGAGCTGGTCGATTTCAATCATTTTTAGAGGAGAGTTTCTATTTATTATATTGGAGTTGGGGTTTTGGGGTTTTGGGGTTTTGGGG